TAAAACAAGCTATAATATAATGATTTACATAACCATGAAGGGAGGAGGAAAGCAATTTTACTCAAGCACCCTACAGAACGAGCTAGATCTACCAAGCACTCATCATCTAAAAGCACTCATCATCTAAAACACTCATCATCATCTACATAGCACTCATCATCTAAAAGAAGACAGCAGGGCGGCGCTATATTGCAACACATGTGGGTTCACACCGAAGTTCCGAGAATGTAAGTCATGGGAAGATACGCAAGCGAGCGCAGTCGCCTGATAGCCGAGGCTTTCGCAATTAAACGCTAGAGGGCGAAACATGCGCTACTGAGCCGTCCATGAAATCAAGTATAGAGCAGATTAAGCATCTCCCATGTGCCGAGTGGCACTGTCAAATTTGTAATCTTGTCGAATAGCTGCTATCGTGACGAATAGCTTAAAATTTGACGTGAGTAGTTTCCCCGCCTTTTTTTTTCTTTATGCTGCTTTGAGGCGATAAAACAGTGATTGGTTAGTCGGGCGCTGATTGATTGATATGTGTGGTTTAACGTCCCAAAACCACCATATGATTATGAGAGAAGCCCTAGTGAAGGGCTCCAGAAATTTCGACCACCTGGTGTTCTTTAGCGTGCACCCAAATCTGAGTACACGGGCCTACAGCATTTCCGCCTCCATCGAAAATGCAGCCGCCGCAGCCGGGATTCGATCCCGCGACCTGCGGGTCAGCAGCCGAGTACCTTAGCCACTTGACCACCGCGGCGGGGCATTAGTCGAACGCCCGTCCTGTAGTTTGCCTCGTACGTATCGTCCGTTTCACGCCATTTTTACCTTCTACAAACAGTTGGAACGCAGCATCAGTTTCCTAACAGTTTTAGAAGGCACGACCCGGCGTGACTGGACTGGGACGACTTTCTGCTCTCCCATAGTAGAGTCCCAGCCGCTGGATGAACATCCAGCGGCTGTGGTAGGGTAATAACTACTCTTAATCGTTCAACTTTTTTTTACTGAACCTACAGCCACCATCATTGTCATAAAAAGAACTGCCGACGATTACTTTACTGCCTCATGCAAATTCTGAGTGCAGCTTTGTCTTGGGACAAGCCCAACTGCGTTTGAAGTTTTGTCTTTCCGCAAGGTGTCCGACTACGCCATAAATGATGACTCTTGTGAAGTAAGACAGCACTCGCTACGCCGTTATTCTTCTTTCTGCGGATAACCTAGATACCTGCTACACATCTGATGATGATCCTCTCACAGTTCTTGCACTCACCCACAAACGGGGATCGGCCAAGAGCAGTTAGTGGGTCGTGTATATAAAAACGCCCAATGGACATTAAGACTGTAAAATCAAATCGCAAAGAGTTAATGAAAATGCTACACGATGAAGCGGTCAGACAATCAGATAGGTTCGGAGTCGATATAAGGATGAGAATGTACTAACAAGGTAATCTGTTTGTTTCCATTACGCACGCAAACACAGCAGAGTAGACCTCTCTGTGACTATAACCTAATGTGATCCGTCCAAAGGATACAGTAGCTGCAACATTTGTTTTCAAACCTAGCTTTTTAATTGGATCGACAAGGTATCTTTTCTTTCCTTTCGTAGCATGCGACAATATGAGTTGCAAGGCGGGCTCCCTTATCAGCATTCTTAGTTTTGTGTGTGTGTGTTCCCTGAGCCGCTCGTTGACGCATCTTCCAGTTTGATCAAACATTGAAAAAAAAAAAGGAATGCGATGCGGCCAAGGAATGTGATGTCGGCCATGGAATCTGCTCTTAGAAAATCGTGCACTCACACGATGCAAGGCAGCTTCACCAATCAGATCAGCAAACATCTGGCTGCTGAGTTCCAAGTCGTTCCTGATTGCTGCGGCTGAAATGCTGATTAGGAAAAGAAAATCTACCTGGAGGGCGGGCGCCGTACAGGGCGAAGTGAGGCCTGTGGTGGTCCCGTATATACATTGGATCTGCGATGCACTCAAGAAAGTGGCAGGCAAACATGGCGTCACTGTGAAGCTGCCTGCCCCGAACAAACTTTCCTAGCTATGTTCCCGCGGCTGCGGTATGAGCAGAAAAGGGTGCAAAATGTGACACGGTACGACCTACGTTCCGTGTGCCATCAGCGTGGCTTACGCAAACCTGCTCTCGTGTCGACCTATGTTGGTCAAACTGGAAGATGCGCCAACGAGCGGCTCAGGAAACACTTACAAAAAAATTAACAAAAATGCAGATAAAAGAGCCCAACTTGTGGCTCATATTGTCGCGTGCTGCAATCGTGAGGCCCGAGTTGACGGGACGTCGATGCTTGGCAGGAGCAATAGTGAGCATGCGCGGCTGGCCTCGGAAGCCTATCTTGGCATAAAAAGTGCTTATTTATGCTTAAGCTACACGTATCTCAGTAGGGTTGAGAGCTGGGTGAGATATCATTTTAACATAGGGCAGTAGCGTAAATTCGACGGGACACAAGGAAAAGAACAAACACGACACTCGCTATATATATATATATATATATATATATATATACTATATATATATAGCGAGTGTTAATATATAAATATATATATATAGCGAGTATATAAGGGAAAAGGGTGTATACCTAAGGGCTCGTTTTTCCGTGTTTTAACACACTATTAATGAGATCTAACAGACAATAATGCCAAGGAATGTAAAGGGTTGTTATTAGAACAAATGAAATGTAAATAAGAAGAAAGAAAAGTGGGTGAAAAAAAAGCAGCCACGAGCAGGAATTGAACCTACGACCTTCGAATAACGCGTTCGATGCTCTAACCATTGAGCTATCACAGCGGCCTTCCCTCCAAGCACTTTTTTGGGGGCTTATATGCGAATTTAGAAGTGAGAGTGTCAGTCAGCGCCATCTGTAAGCCAAGCGGCGAGTGTGAAACACCCTTTTATGCGCATGTGTGGCGTCACGTAGCACGTGAACTCATTACGAGCGGGCAGCTGACCAATAGTCCCTCGTATACAACCTAATGACACCAAGTCTGCCAGTACGAGACCCTCGTTAATGAATAAGGGAAAGAGGTGTATACCTAAGGGCTGGTTTTTCCGTGTTTTGACACAGTATTAATGAGATCTAATAGACAATAAAGCCAAGGAATGTATAGGGGAAGTTATTAGAACAAATGGAATGTAAATAAGAAAGAAAAGTGGGTGAAAATTAACCAGCCATGAGCAGCAATCGAACTTACGACCTTCGAATACCTTCCATAAGGAGAAGATAGGAAAGATGGACACGGCGGTCGCAGGAGTCCGAGGACGAGGCACCACTCGGCGAGAGCTCTTGTCGGCTGCAGGAGATGGCGTAGGGGGAGCCCAGTCGGCCAGAGCTGCGCTGTCGTCGGAGATCGCGGGGGCACAACCGGTCGACAAGGAATCCAGTGAGCGAGTCGCCAAAAGAAAAAAAGAGTACCCAGGCAAATACGATTGATGATTGATATGTGGGCTTTAACGTCCCAAAACCACCATATGATTATGAGAGACGCCGTAGTGGAGGACTCCGGAAATTTCGACCACCTGGGGTTCTTTAACGTGCACCCAAATCTGAGCACACGGGCCTACAACATTTCCGCCTCCATCGGAAATGCAGCCGCCGCAGCCGGAATTCGAACCCGCGACCTGCGGGTCAGCAGCCGAGTACTTTAGCCACTAGACCACCACGGCGGGGCAACTCACGCAAATACAGGCTTCAAGCGATAGTATACGGCAGTTATGCGTAGACACTTTTAGATGAAACAAGAAGTAACAGCACATTGTGTTATAAAACCAAAAACTCTTGGCGTGAATTTACACGAGCCTGAAACAGAATTGAAACAGCACGAAGGACAATATAACACATGCAAACACTAGCATTAATTATAGTCCTTCGAGGAAGCTGGCTTCTCGGTTACTTAACGAAACTGATGACTGACTTAGTGCTGCTTCTGAAATAAAATTAGTTGCAAGTGTATATAGCGAGTGTCGTGTTTCTTCTTGTCCTTGTGTCCCGTCGAACTTACGCTACTATGCCATACGTTAAAACGGCACGTATCTCTCCCTGCACGCATCTGAGCTCGATTCCATTTCATCGCGTATGTAATGCACTGATTCATTTTTCAACTCTGTTTCACTTTTGTGTTTATGTTTCTTTTTGTCGATTGCGTGTCGCATGTGCGTTAAGGCTGCTTTGCCAGCACATTTTTTTTCCCCAGCAACTTTGTAATCACCCGCGGAGATAACTTAAGAGCCCACAAAGAATATACCAGGTCGCAACGAATGTAAGGCTCAAAATAGAGAGTAGAAATTGACTGATTGATTTGTGAGGTTTAACGCCCCAAAACCACCATATGATTATGAGAGACGCCGTAGTGGAGGTCTCCAGAAATTTCGACCGCCTGGGGTTCTTTACCATGCACCCAAATCTGAGCACACGGGCCTACAACATTTCCGCCTTTTATCGGAAATGCAGCCGCCGCAGTCGGGATTCGAACCAGCGACCTGCGGGTCAGCAGCCGAGTATACCTTAGCCACTAGACCACCGCGGCGGGGCATAAAGAGTAGAAAAGGTGTACAGTTCGCTGTATACAGCGAACTGTACATGCAACAACCGCTTCTATACCGCCTCTATACATACAACAACCGCCTCTGTACATGCAACAACCGCCATGTACATGCAACAACCGCCTCTATATATATATAGAGGCGGTTGTTGCATGGCACAGCCAACGAGGCAGAGAAGACAGCGCAATCTTTATTTTCGCTGTTCCGAAATGTGCTGCTATAGGCACCTGGGGCATTACAAAGGTCGACACCCACGGGATAACCTTATTTATATCGTGCGCGACTGTGCAGTTATTTTGTCCACAAATACAGAGTTAGCTCTGGCGTCCACGCACTCTCTTGCAAATGTCTCTTTTTTTACTCGCACGTATTCTCACTTCCAAGAAGGATCCATGTGCTTCTCCTTCAGAATCTTAATCTCAGTTGCTTAGCTGGACGCGAGGCCGTTAGGCGTGTATCAGTAACGCAGGAAGCGATACTATATAACACCGTCGGCGTCCGGCATGGTAAACAAGCTGCAGCCCCACGCTCCTAGCTAGGACTTGCAGGGCCAAAAGATGCACGTCCTCATCAGCGGCGTCCCGTTGTTGCTCCTGGCAGGTGAGCTTTCGCACTGTCACCGTTTAGGCAGGATTCACAATTGTAAACTGCAAAGCCACAGGTCCATAGTTGAGGAGCAGATGAAGCCCACACGCACACAGGACAAGCGCCAATGCGAAAGACTGTATACTACATTGTAAATCCACATACTTTTTTTTAGGGGCGAAGCTCCTTAAAGCGGCACCCGTTTGTCCCTCGAAGTCGTAGTGTGTAACAAGTGTTACATTTACCTGCAAGGGGGTGCCGGTGGGAGATTTCTTCTGTGCTTTGTTGAACAATAAAAAGTTCGCGGCGTGCGCGTTAACTAAAAGCCGAATGCTCCTGTCTCTCATTCCACATTAGCAGCCATTGGCATGTTCCAGTAGGAAACGTTAGTAGAAGTGTTAAAAGCCGACTTCTGCTGTCTCTCATTCACAGTAGTAGCCATTGTTTACCTCCAAGGTAGTGCCTGGTGAGATTTCTCCTGTGCTTCATTAAACAATGAAATTTTTATCGGGCGAATTAACGGAAGAAAATTTCACGGCATTACTTCCAGGAGCTTCGCCCAATCTCATCATCATTCACCTCGTGGATCTGCCGTCAATTTTCTTTTTTTTTTTTTTGAACCCGTACGAGCGAGCGTTAACCTCCCAGTCGGTATCGGCGTCTTAAGTTGTGAGGGAAAAAATGAGCGTTGTCCGGGACCTAAAAATAGAAAACTTTTCGAATAAAATAAATAATAAAGATCTTCTGTTCGAGTGAGTCCGCCTCAGTGGAACAGTGGCTAGGGTGCTTGGCTGTTGACGCGATGGTCGCAGGTTTTGGCGGTCGCACTTCCGTGGAAACGAAATGACCGCCCATGTGCGGTGCGAAATTCGTCCGAAATTTCCAGAGCCCTCCACTACGGCGTCTCATAATGATATCATGCATAGTAATGTATGCGCGTAGGTTACACTTAATGGTTATGAGAGCTATGCGCACCCGACGTGTGGCCTTCTGAGGGCACATATATTGGCGGGATCAGCGAGTGATAAACTGCTGTTGAGAGTTAGCGCTGTGATGTCTCGTACGTGCCTTCTTTTGTGCGTGTCTTTAGCCTGCGCTACCATCAATTATCACGATCCGCATAACTTCAACGTGTTCGCGGTATGAAGCGTGGCCATCACTAAGCGTTCTAGAACAAGGTGAGAGATTCAAAGTGTAATAATTAGTACACCATGCGATACCGTTGCACTGTGCTTAAGCAGACAATTTCAGCGCGCTGCCCGAAACGACGCACGAAAGGAACACACAGGTGTGCACAGGACGAGTGGTCGCCCGGCCCTGTATACACGTGTGCTCTTTGCGTGCGTCCTTGAAGCATGCAGCGTGCTGCAAGTGTCGACTGTGCACAGCCAACTAACCCACACTGACTCTTCTAGCTAAGCTTGATTGATATGTGGGCTTTAACGTCCCAAAACCACTTCATGATTATGAGAGACGCCGTAGTGGAGGGCTCCGGAAATTTCGACCACCTGGGGTTCTTTAACGTGCACCCAAATCTGAGCACACGGGCCTACAACATTTCCGCCTCCATCGGAAATGCAGCCGCCGCAGCCGGGATTCGAACCCGCGTCATGCGGGTCAGCAGCCGAGTACCTTAGCCACTAGACCACCGCGGCGGGGCTTCTAGCTAAGCTTGGTCATTTCAAAGGCCAAAGTGCAGACAAGCCCTTTCAAATGTCGGTGTGTGACGGCTGTCCCTATACAAGCGACAGAAATTATTTATAAACGCTCGTGGTTATTATACCCAGTGTTGCTTTACGGAGGGACAATTTTTTAGCGATTTGTCTGTTTTTTTTCTTTATACTTTCTTTCGCACATCATACAATAATAATACAGTGCACAAACAGTACATACTGATGTAATAAAGGAATTAAACTCACTATGTAACCACATTCTGTTTGTAATTTACCTGTTTTTGTTCCATTGGAATAGGCATGTACATTTCTTTGTGTGTGTGCGTGCGTGTAAGTCAGTTCGTCACACGAATGCCGAGAACGATTATTTTTCCCATTTATTTCCCAACAGCTGCGGCGAACGCCATTCCCCTCGGTAAGTACTCTGGCGGCACAGAAGCGCCATCTTCAGACGCGTGTAATAGTTGAGGAAGCAATGGCGCGAGGAACTTAATGAGAACTTGTCCTCTTTCGTGAGCATTAGTAACGCGAGGCTTACCAGCTATATGAAAGCACACATCCTAGTCCGATCACTTTGGCCGAGCTTGAACACGCACTGTTCCCATAAGTCTTCTTGACTGTCTCATTGACAGCCCGTGTATAACGGCCCACGCCCCGTACATAAGTGAACTCTAAAATGAACCAATAAGTAAATTTAAGCTAGTACATATAGTTCTAATATAACTTCAGTCTCGTTAATTTCACGCCCATACGTTTATCCGTAGATAAAACAAACCATTGTGAAAAACTCTAGTGATAACTTTCTCACCGAAATCTGCGACGGTGAAGTCACCGATATAAACGTGTTTTCTTGTATTTTTGGCCAGATCGGTTCAACGGAATCAACTGAAAACTGGCATGTCTCGCTCACTCAGAAGAAAATTCACTTCATTTTCTTTTTTTGATGATTAGAAACTACGCTGGCCCTAGCAAACGCCATTAAAATGTCAGAATGTACATGCTCAAACAAAAAAAAGCATACACCCGAAGGCCCCTCTTACTTCAATGGTAACGAACGCGTCGCCCCGGTGGTCTAGTGGCTAAGATACTCGGCTGCTGACCTGCAAGCTCGCGGGATCGTATCCCGGCTGCGGCGGCTGCATTTCCGATGGAGGCGGAAATGTTGCAGGCCCGTGTGCTCAGATATTGGTGCACGCTAAAGAACCCCAGGCAGTCGAAATTTCCGGAGCCCTCCACTACGGCACCTCTCTTATTCATATGGCAGTTTTGGGACGTTAAACCTCGCCTATCAATCAATCCATGGTGACGAACAAATCTGAAGCAATGAATTCCTTTATATGGCTAGAAAAAGGTTACTATTGAACATTATTCCCCAACAAACCATGGTACGCATTCCCAGATTTTTTTTTTTCATATTTTTCAGCTTACATTGAATGTAATAAGAAGTCTCTAGTCTTATTTTTTTATACTTCCTTTGGCAACGAACGATCGCATAAAGGTGTAGTCGGTGGTTCTGAAGTTGCGACAAACAGCCACGCCTCACGTACTATATGAAAGCTGGTTGAGATTTCTTGTGACCCATGTCGAAGTATGTTCATCACTTGTACGTGTATTGCACGGCATGCAATTTTATAGTTACCTCTGACCCAGCAAAAACCAACTTGTTAGCTGTCCTAAAGTGATTATCTCATGTACAAATCAGGCAAGCGAGCTCATACATCCCCGTTCTTAGTGCACCCATGTACCAGAAAGAGATCACAACGCTGCTTTTAAACAAGTGCCGTTGCCGCAGATTTAGTGCCCGCGAACCAGTCCTCAGGTGGTGTGGTCTACGAGGTTCACGCCACCATCACCCTGGAGAGTCCCGAGCTGAATGTGGACGAGGGCACAAAGTTGCAGTACGCTGGAGACCTGGCCGTCTACGCGGTCGGCAAGGACACGTACCAGGCACGCTTTCTTAACTTCTCGATGGTCACTTCAACGAAAACGGCGTGTCCAGGTTGCAGCTTGGAGACCTTGATCATCGCGCCCCCCGAAAGACGTTACCCACCTCCCAAAGCTGTCAATGATCCCGACAAATCGCAGGTCCGTCCACTGGTATTGGAGACACTGATTATCGCACCGCCCGAAAGACGTTACCCACCGCTCACAGCTGTCAACAATGCTGACCAATCGCAGGTCCGTCCACCGGTTCAAGAGACACTGATCATCGCACCCCCCGAAAGACGTTACCCACCTCTCAGAGCTGTCAATGATGCTGACCAATCTCAGGTCCGTCCACCGGTTCTGGAGACACTGATCATCGCACCCCCCGAAAGACGTTACCCACAGCTCGCAACTGTCAACAACCCCGACCAATCGCAGGTCCGTCCACCGGTTCTGGAGACACTGATCATCGCACCCCCCGAAAGAACTTCACCACTTAGAGCAGTAAACGATCCCGACAAATCGCAGGTCCGTCCACTGGTATTGGAGACACTGATTATCGCACCGCCCGAAAGACGTTACCCACCGCTCACAGCTGTCAACGATGCTGACCAATCGCACGTCCGTCCACCAATCCTGGAAACACTTATTATCGCGCCACCAGAGAGGTGTTACCAACCACCAACCACGATCGGTGATGCTGACCCGTCGCAGTTGCTCGGCTACCCCGTTCAGTTCGTCCTCAAGTCTGGCAAGGTAAGGACGCCCCATATTCATGTTATAATGAACCAACTGGGGAAAGTGTACAAACTGTCAATTAATTTATCGGAGTGACAGATGCTACCCGACGTATCAAAACAGATATGGCAATATGCAGAAACAGGCCCGGTAAACTACCATGTAATTCAGTAGACTCCTAGATTACGCGTGCAACAGATGGCCTTCACAGTGAGGCCAGCTTTGACGTCTTCCTGCTGCCATAGTTTGCAAGCACTGCTACCTTTACGTTATTTCTCACACCACATCTCGCTGACCCTCGCTGACCGCAGAGCCAGTCTTTACTGCGGTGCATAGAGATTGCCGCCATTAATCTACTGCATACCTACAGAACGTGGCAAACCCCACCTCCTTGTGCAAAGTACATAAAATGAAACTCGTGCCTTTACGTGCACATGCTCAATGCAACTTTACATATGGATATGCATATTGTGAAGCTCTTGAAAACTACCCTGGGAAAGCAGAAAAGGTTGCATTGACTTGTACTGTCAAAACCACATAAAAAATCTTCATTGTTCTTCCTTGTTTGATAGGCCATACTAAAAAGTCCCTGAGTATGTTAATTCTTGACATTAGACTTTAAATTTTCACGGGTCGACCTCTCCAAAGCCGTGCCTCTCAGACAGTGGAGACGAACTTGAATGTAACAACGCCAAAAGAGGACTAGGATGACAGGAGATGACCAAGGCACAGGCTTAACATATTGTTATTAAGAGTATATGCACTGGCAGTACAATCAGCATAAGAAAACAAGAAGGTATAAGCAGACATCAGTGCTAACAGCACAATGTCGCGTGCTGGCTATGTAGGTGCACGATCTCGTAGTGCACGAGGTGTAGCAGTTGGTGGCACGGGCACACACTTCAGTGGAGGGTGGTGCGAAAGTTTATATCATAGTCATTCCAGGGTACATGACTATGCATAATATGTGAATATGAGACACACCATCATGAAGGCCAGCGAACTGATTATAACAACGTGGTGTGCTTTCTCAAGGGGACCCTACAACTTTCTGAGTAATGACAGAACAGTCTCGATATTGTAGTTTATTACCTCACCAATCGATTGCCGCAAAAATGTTTCGAATGCACCGGGAAATTTTCACGTGATTTGTAGAATTATTGAGCTTATTCAACTCACGAGACGCATGTAATAGTACATGGAATTCACCCCCCAACCTCTTCTTTGTTCATTTCTAAAAGGTTGTGGAGTACAAGATGAGCTTTGGGGCCCCAGCTTGGATCAACAGCGTGTACCAAACAGTGCTGGCACTCCTTCAGAACCAAGTCGAGACACCTCTGGAGCTCCCTGCTGTGTCGTCCTACTATGAGGTGAAGGGCTTACAAAAATCTGTTTATTCGGTTGGCATAGTTTAGTCTATACCACGCTGCCCAGCGAATGCAGAATGGCGGCACATGTGCCTGAGTACCTCGAGTGGCCGAAAATGAAAGTGAGTTTCAGCCCAATGGAAAGCTGCATATACACAGGCGTCATCTTGCAAAGCAAGCTTGGGTTGTGTTCGAACTTCGTTATATCATACATGCATAAACACAAACTACTTGCTACATGCGGCACCGATCGGAGAAGATTCTCAGAGCATCAAACGTACGATACGCCCAAAAACGTCAGCACAGCAATGTTATGACAGCGGGTATACACTTAGCAAAGGTTATACTAAAGATTAAGACGCGACTATTCCAAACAATATTGATAGTATTAAGGCCTTACCAATGCTGCACGAAGGGTTTTAAAGTTTTCATTCATTCCTCGAACCATAACGGCATTTTATGCTTACCGTGTGCTGCCCTCTGGCAATTTGGTAGAGGCCAGGACACTGGCATTGCTAAAACAATGACCTCCAAGAGCAAGAGGCATTTTGCGGCTTTTCCGCTAGGAACGGGCTTATGCGCCAATGGCATCATGGAAAAGGCGGATTGAAGTATAGAATCTGCCTCCCATTGACTTTGTATATTCACCAAACTTTTCTTGAACTTTCTCCAAATTTATTTAGGTATTACTTGAAATGTATTCATAACAGAATGTCTTAAGCTTTGTTATTATTGATACACTTTCTCTTAGACTACAATGTCTGCATATGCTAATTCTGTGATTTTGATACTGCTGATTTTTTATTGCGTGATTAGCCCCCTATGATAATGGCCAATTAGGGTGCTGTAGGTATGTCTAATAAATGAATCAAAAATAGGACAAGATGCGCAAGCTTCCATTCGTGTGATAGGGCTCATCATGCTATGATCACGATAGTAAATGTTGTTCCTTGCATGCCAACGTGAGCAGTATTCTGAAAAATTGTTTTGTAATAACCCAGCCGATTATTCGGGAATATCGCTATTTGTTAATGTTTTTAAACTCTACAGTTAACAGTTGTCAAATGTATGAGGTTAAATTATTTCCACTTAGTTACATCCACTTCATTACATTCTCTTCATTACACAGCTTTTGAACTTGCCTTGAAAATCACATTGGTACTTTGAAAAACGGTGTGCAAGACTAACCGAAAGTACAATAATAAAGCACGGCATTATGATTTTGCTTAGTTGCAGTATGAAGCTCTTCGATGAGCACATTAGTATCTCAATTCAAGGTAAATGCAGCAACACAATCAAGAGGACTCTTTAGCCAGATCTTGTAACCCTCATAGCCCGGTGCTGCTTTGATGATTCTATTGCCTTGCACCGTAATGAGATTACCGTTGTGTAAGCCTAATTTGTTAGATGAAAGTTCGAAATTTTCAGACTATCGCTTTTAGATTTAAAAAAAGCAGACCAAGCAGACGAACGTGCATCAGATGCACTTTCATCGAAGAGGCGATCGTTGCACAAGCTGCGGAAATCAGCAACTGTAAGCCGTGCTGAAGAATAAAAGAATATCTAGCTGATGATGGAATCTTTCTGAAGTACACAACAAAATAATTCTTAAGTTTAAGAATTCAGTTGGGCTATAATGCCCTTGAGAGTAAGTACGAAGGCCTTTGTACGGAAAAAAGGAACAAGTATTGAGAGCGGGTGCTTCTGCTATTTCGGTGTGTTTCTTTCGTATGTTCATCTAGCTCACGTACATGACTGAGACCATCGTCACACTAATCACAAAAGCTATAAAAACAGCCTTCAAATACCAAACAGTTGACCCTGTAACGCAATCACTGCACCACTGTCTACCTCAACAGTCTTCATCTGCCTGCAGTGTGGTCATAGTGGTCTCGTATACCAAGTGAACTATGCACTACGAAAAGTTGCCAAATATTCCCTTCAGTCCCGGCATACACCATTATTCTAAACATGAACTTAGAAGGCACGTCATACCCCGCATGTTACTTAATATGACCTCTTGAAACTTGATTGATATGTGGGGTTTAAAGTCACAAAACCACCATATGATTATGAGAGACGCCGTAGTGAAGGGCTCCGGAAATTTCAACCACTTGGGGTCTTTAACGTGCATCTAAATCTGAGCACACGGGCCTACAGCATTTCCACCTCCATCGGAAATGCAGCCACCGCAGCCGGGATTTCATCCCGCGACCTGCGGGTCAGCAGCCGAGTACCTTAGCCACTGGACCACCGTGGCGGGGCGACCTCCTGAAACTTATTGTGCGCATTCTTGCAGGATTTCTGAGCATAGGACTACCGGTAATTTAATTTTATTGTAGTGCGTTTTGCTGCAGAGATTCACTTTGATGCAGACATGTTCGACTAGCTTCGACGTTGCAGGACCAACATGAAAAGTATTTTTTTTTCTCCACTGGAAAATAATGCGACGAGAAAAAAAATCTGTGCATGCTTTTCAGGCCTTATATTTCATTCTCTTTATGCAAGTTCTGAAGCTGACTAGTGGCCGAAAAATTAAATAATTAGATACATACTCATTACCTTTAATTACTGAAAGTAACACAAAACAGTGCATTCCTTCATTTTATTTCTTGGAATGTAATACTGAGTGCCTTAGAATTATGTCATGCGAATTTTACACGCATCTCACGGTGCACCACAATTCGTGACAGAATGGGAATGTACTACTTTATTCGCAGGATGGTGTATCCGGATACTGTCGTGTCACCTACGAGGTACACTCGCTGACCGATCTCCCCACTGAGACAGGACTTATAACATGACAAAGACCAAGCATCTGGACGACTGCCAGCAACGCAACCACGTAGATAGCGCGAGCGACACTCGGGGACACCCGCCGATCGCAGGAAACACTTGGCCAACAACATGCTTCCATTACCTGTGGACGACGCCTCCGAGAACCGGCCATTAGGCGGAACTCCAGAGGATCTTAACACGGTGAGCAGTGAACACCTTGTCCTCTCATCTATTACAACAGCAGCCGTACGTACTTGCGAACGTACGTAAAGCTAGCAGAGTAATTACACGCTTAGCAGTGAACAATGTGTTAATTAGAATAAGAGGACAACAGCAGCCATAAGTACTTGTAAAAGCACGTAAAGCTAGCAGAGCTGTTACACAATTTGAAAAACTAGCAACAGCGCACATTTGCAGTTACCTGGCACACACACACAGTGTGCATTTGCAGAGTGACACTGTAGATGTGCATCATCATGCGGTTGTCTTCGTCACTGCAGCTGCTGCCTTAAAAAACCAAAACAAGACTACTTGTTGAAACGTTGGCGCCAGCGACACACTATGTTTCAGGATTTTTTATTGTAATCATATCAACGAAAAAAAATATACAATTCAGAGTTTTCATGATAGACCACCAGATATATATTTGATTTTGCTGCACTTTAAGAGAGTTCATGACCCGCTGCGGCAATGTAGGAGTCATGATGCTCGACTACTGATCTGAAGGTTGCAAGATCGAATCTGGGCCACTGCGGTCGCATTTTAGATGTAGCCAAAAATCCTTGAGGCCCGTGTACTTGGATTTAGGTGCACGTTAAGAAACCCCAAGTGGTCGAAATTTCCTGAGGCCTTCGGTACAACGTTTCTCACATTCGATTGTGATATTAGGACGTAAAACCACAATTAATATTGTTAATATTAAAGAGTTAGTGAAAACATTTTCAAGAACTCTATCCGTAATATTTTTGATATGACTTCTAGCTTAATAACGCACAATAAATAATTATGTGTACTATAGTTGAAGAGACACTGAAAGCCGATAAAACATTACGCCAGAGTGAAAAATGTCAATGCTGTGAATGACTAAAACATCAATATTAAACACAGCAGCACTTAAGATTGAGGAATGAAGGTAATTTGTAGGACATGATTTGTGCCACCAGTGGGACAATTTGAAACATCAGCCTGAAGACGTATTCAGCCCTTACAGCACAACCTGATCACAATCAAGGGCTAGAACTACGCACGATAAAAATATGTTTCAATGCATCCCCAGAGAGTATAAAATGTACTTCGTGCACAGTCTGATTCATGAAAACAATAACCACTTGAAGTTAATCTGAAGAACGACGCAAGTCCCGTTATCGCCAGGCTGTGATTCGCTGATCCGTAGCGCCGGCAGTCGGATTGTAAAGCCCTACTAATGGTGAAGCAAATCAGTAATGGGTGGTTTGGTTTCAAGCTAAATACTTTTTTTTTTGGCACGCACACGACATTTGCCAGGTTTCTGGAAAGCTGTTTCTACCATCCACCTCGACTTCATATTTGCCTTTATAGTTCCTTAACGTTGCTTCCCTTATTTCCCTGCTCCCATTCGCATTATCAGTTGAAACCAGAGGGAACGGCTCACGAGGTCTCCTACTACCTCGTCAATGGCAGGCTTCATTGAGAGCGCCACATGCGACAGCCTTCACCGTGCTACCCCTGATCACCGGCCCGGCCCTAGTGCGGGCACAGCTTCAGCTCAAGCTGGCCAGCCATCGAGCACCACCCATGGAAACTACGCATTTTGATGGGAAGCCACGCACCTCACTCAAACTAAACATGTCCGAGATAGTCGGGTGCCTCAACGTAGCTGCCTACGGGGACCTGCTGGTTGAGCCCCAAGTGTTCACCCAGCTCCTCGACGAGGTGGCCGAGGAGCTCTCCACCTTCGATCTCAACATTGGGACCAAGAAGATCCCTGCGCTCATGCAGAAGCTTGTGCGCATGGTCTCGCTTCTCAACACTGAACAGCTGAAGCAAGCCATGCCTTTGTCCCTCCTCAACAGAACCAGCGAATTGGAGCTCAAGGAGCAACTGCTCAGGTACAGCTTTGCTCGCAGCGACTGCTCAGGTACAGCTTTACTCGCGCAGAACAGAAAAAAAAAGGGGCAGTATCAACAGCGAAGTCAAAATTTTTTTTCGGGTGGGGGGGGGGGGTAATTCAGCCATGCTATTATATGTTCGTTCATGCATTTGTATGTGCGTGCATTTATACGTAAGCAAAATTGAAAAATATCGGAGAGAGAATTGAATCCCCCCACCCCCCTCGCCTACGCTCATGGGTATGTTACCCTCTGTAAAATTTGAAGGCTGAAGCCTGCTGCCAAGCAGTGATACATTAAAAGCGTCCTGCAACACTTTCACTGGCAATCATCGAATGACATTGATTAACGGAGTTTATTGACTCATGAATCAAGTGCCGCAGAAATTTTTGGAATGATTCCAGTACGAACGCAATCTAGAGGGGTTTCATTCTCCCTTGCTTCAAAGGGGCCTTGCAACACATTTTGAGGATGGTCAGAAAACGCTGCCGACATGTATTCGAGGCTCCCGAGAACACGCAGCCAGATATTGTAGCGCAGCACGCGGCCTGGAATATACAAAAATTTATCAATGTCAGCCAAACATTATTTTCTCTTTCGAAAAATTATTCTACAGGCTGAAAAATCACTGCGTCACGAGCCAAAGCATTGGCCATTGGCTGATTTTAACAATGGCGCACGCGGGAGTTATTTTCATGGGCCACTGAGCGAAGCCGTGACCTGTCCGCGCGTGAGCACGCGATCGCACAGAGAAGCCGCGGGTTCGAAGAAAGTGCACATGGTCGCAAGGTGCACGTGACGTATTTTCGTCCCCCGTGTAATCCCTCCCTGCTTAAGCGTTACCAATCCTGTTCTCTCATAAAACACGCAGGCAGTAATAGAAAATTGAGTAAAACATGAGATTATGAAAAGGTTGGTTTGTGAATACGTGGCATAAGTGCAGAACGATGATGATGATGATGATGGCGTTGTTGGTGATTATGACAGTGACGACAAATAATAAGAAAAAGGGGTGCGAGATCAGATCAGTGCTAAAGATTTTTTCTTTTTCTTACTAAGGAGTTGCACGCCCAGTACAGTTATATCCGAATAAAGCTGCCTATACGTCAGAGTTTACTCTATAAACTTGCACAATCTCCACACATATGCAGTTCATTAAAGAAGCGCTCCCCCAATTCAATCAGTAACGTATATAGCTTCAAAAGCGGAGAACCATCCAACATGACCCCGAGTTCAGTATAGGGACGAGCTCGTCGAACGAATTGTCGGAATCCCAGCTTCCGGCACTTTTGTCGGAACGAGAGAAGACAAAAAGCAATCACAGCGTGCAATAAATCGTAGTAACTCTGCTCCTACTGCATGGATTCTAGAAATTTTTGCTGCAGTCAATTTGTGAGGTGAAAAGCTTCTCTGCTGATATCATAGCTACTTGGAAAAGTGTTGCAGGGCCCTTTTAAGCGCTTCTCCTTTTGGTCCAGTTTGCTTCAAACCACTAACTTCTCTCACTTGTATCGTCAGAATGAAGAGACGCGCCTGTGGTTTGCTCCTCACCTTACAGTGCTTCGATGCTCGCTCCTCCGGGGCCGTGCGCATCAAGGCACCCTAGCTCACCTTATTTCAGAGTGATCTCATGTGGCGAGCTTGAGAAAACTCGGCTGCACAAGTACTGTACTTCACCTCTTTTTACAGGGCGCTCTACATCCAACTTTTGGGCAACGCCCGAAGCAAGTCCTCCGCCGAAATGGCCCTCCATCTCGTGAAACAGAACATCCTGTCACGCCAGGAAGTGGCCCGTCTGTTCAGTGACCTGTCCCCATTCTTCATGACCTGCATTGACGAGGACACCCGCGAGCTTCTCCAGGTGAGAACCACCATAAAACGCCCAAGTGAAAATTGCCATTATGAAGACCAGCATATTGACACATGTACACACACACACACACACACACACGCACACACATACACACACACACATACATATATTAAGAAAAGAAGTGTAAGTGTATAGCTTAAAGGCTCGTTTTTTCAGTGTGTGACACAATATCAATAAGATCTAATAGAGCATAATGACAAGGAAAGTATAAGGGAATGTTATTAGACCGTAATTGTAATGTAAATGTAAAGAAAGAAAAGTGGGTGAAAAGATAACTTGCCGTGGGCAGGAACCGAACCTGTGACCTTCGAATAACGCGTTAGATGCTCTACCACCGAGCTGCCACGGCGGCTATCCCGCCCAGCCATTTTATATGGTATATATGTGAATTAAACGTGGGGGAGTATCAGTCAGCATGACCACTAGCCATGGCGGCGAGTGTGGCGCACTCTTTATGAGCCTGTTTGGCGTCACGTAGCACATGAACTTATTACGAGCAGGCAGCTGACCAATAGTCGCTCATATACAACCTAAAGGCACCAAGTATGCCAGTACGAGACCCTCATTGACGAATCAAGGAAAGAAGTATATTAAGGGCTCGTTTTTTCCGCGTGTGACGCAATATTATTAAGATCTAACAGACAATAATGCCAAGAAAAGTATAGGTGAAGTTATTAGACCGAATTGTAATGTAAATGTGAAGCTTAAAGAAAAGTAGGTGAGAAGATAAATTGCTGTGGGCAGGAACCGAACCTCAGTGTGACGCCACAAATTTGAGCCTGTTTTTGCATATTTTGGCCACATTGGTTCAATATTTTCTCAAGCGTGCTATGTAGTGACTTTGGGTTTGCCAGAAAACAATGAAAGCAATTTTTACTAACAAGTCACTCCACGGCCCGGGCCCTAGCAGACGCCATAAAACTCTATGAAGTCACGGAGAGCTAGTGCAGAACCTTAACGGTGGTGTCGCCATTTGAATGTTCTTTCTGAGCTTTTTCTCGCTTGCAGAGGGTTTTCTCGTGTTTACAGTGGCGCTTTCGGTATTGTGAAATCGTAGTTTACTAGTTTGCTGAATGTTTCATAACTGGCACAAAAAAGAGGAGTGGGAAGAGACAGACGAGCACCAATCTCTCTCTTTCCTCCCCTCTTTTTTGTGTTATGGGCTTTGTGTCACTTACAAAATGATCAGCAAACTAAAGCAACAACTCGCCCAAAAACAAGTTCTAGCGTAGTTTACTGATACCGAAAATTTTTTTTTTATTTAGTATCCCTTTAAAGAAAAGGTCGCCTCGAGAAAGTTCAAATTGGCTCAAACGTGGTTGACATCTTGTCGCTCTTTTCTTGCAGGACATGTGCAGGAGTACCGACGGTTTAGTGGATGCAAGTCTCTGGGCAGGTACATGCCAGAGTCCTTAAGAGATGGCAATCAAGTTCTGTCCTCCTGGTCATCTATCTCGCTACCGACCGTGATGCCATAAGACCTGGAAGCGACCACCCTCCAAGTCTGCTGGGACGCAAACAATGGGCCACGTAATGTCTACTAAGCTTTGTTCAAGGCAGCACAGCTATGCATTTGTATTGTACATTTAAATTAGAGTTCCATTGATGCTTAATGCTGATGCATGTCACGTGTCTCTGTCCTCACCAGATCTCTCCTGAACAATAAATCTTGCGTTCATAGTTGCATAAAAAAAGCTTTGACGGTGATGAGCATTCCTTAAATGGAATGAGTAGGCTAACTGAGAAGGTAACTAGGAAACATTGTGACACACCACTACAACTACACGTGATTCGCCGGGCAGCTCGGTTGCCTATAATCTGTCTATTAAAAGGGGAGATGCAATTCGAAAAAGAAGTTTCGTTATTCTGTAGGCTGGGGCGATGCATTCTTTTGCTGTATGTATAGGCATTTATCCCGATTTCAAATATTTTAATTACTTTTATAGTAAGTTGCACAGTTCTCGTTTTGTGCCATGACAATGTGTAAAATATAGTTCGCATCAGACAACTTTTTTATGCCATTAGACTTATACGGTTTTGAGCCATCAATGGCTGATATTGCTCCACATGAACTGTACTATGCAAATAACTATCACGAAAGTGCATACAAGATATTTTATTGGAGAAAAAAATCGTGATGTGAGAATTTTTAAAAGCCTTAGCTTATACTAATTGCTAGCTCTAGAAAGTTCGTAATAATTGTACAGGTGATTTTAAGTTTTAAAAAACTACTTGCACCCTTCACATGTTAATCAATATATGGGCATGATTTCATCCCGATCCGACGATCATAAGTACTAAAACTAGACAAATCTCAAGAAGTTACCCGAAAATGTATCTTGAGAAAAATGTATATTAAAGGTATAAGTCGAAGCTTATCTAAGTGGCAAAGATATGCTTTTTTTAATGATTGCTTCCATCATGAGAGCTTGGCAATCAATCTTGTTTTGAGCATGTGGTTTCAGTGAACTCCTCACCCGAAATGCAGTGACAAGCAGCCAGGTGACAATTTCTAGTGGACTCCAGATAATGAGCTCTTTTTAGTTTTCGTAGCGACTTTGTGCTCTGTGAAGGTGATTTTAACCTACTTCAACTTTGATTACAATCTTCAGTTTTTCTGTTGTAGAAGTAGAGAAACATAACTTAATTTGTGAAAGTGAATAAAAACGAAAAAAAATGTAGACCATCTCCCCAAAGGGAACCATGATGGGATGCGAAGCAGCAGCGGTGCGCGCGCCATTGACCTGGCTGAAACGGGCATCGGCGCCGGTGCTAGAAGAACGGTTTGAAGTGAAACTTGGTGTAGCCTTTACTCGAGTAAAGGTTTGTTTGAAATGCAAAGACACGGGAGGTGGGTTGGGTTTCGTGTGAGTTTCATCGCAGATAAATGAGTCGAAAGTGTTTCCACTCGACATGCGGTCGAGCGTTGCAGGCGGTGGGGAGGGTAAACAAAGAGAGAAGTGTGTTTCGAGTGGGCAGAGGAGCAACATCACCTAAATGTGTTGGGAGAAGCCAGCAGCTGCTGCAAATGAGGGAGAGAATGATATCAGCGTGCAGCTGTGACTTGACGTACTTGACATCGTTCCAACAACTGCGGCGGGGGGAACA